GACAGGATCAAAGGATGATATCTTCTCAAGCCAATTTACTCAGTAGAAGTAATATTCATCAGAAGACTAATATCATCAGAAACACCACTACACTCAACAGAAGAAATATTGTGACCATTTCTATAGAAACATCGACAATTCTAAGGAATGTTGAATGTTCATAAGAAAATGAATCAATCCAAAGATCAAGAGATCGGAAAGAAGGAACTCAACATCAAAGTCAGATTTACTGATTTAAGTTGTTGCTTCAAAAATCGGACATCAGATATGCAACTTAGAAAAGTTGATTATCAAGATATCAAGACAAGGTCAAGATAAAGTAGATCAGAAGAGCTTTCACTCTAATAAGTTGTTCATCAGATAAGTTTTTGCTTATATATCTGAAAATAATGTTTAAATATCTGAAAGACTATGACTCTACAACAAAGAAAAATCTTCTGGATCACTATCACTCCTCAATCAGAATCAATCCAACAAGAAGAAAATAATCAAAGCTCAAGAATTCAAAGACTTGAGAATCGGATAGGTTGTTGTCATAATATCTGATTTCAAGGTCCATCATCAGAAAAGCTTTTGATATCATCAAAAGAGCTTTCATGAACAACCAAAAGACTTGTTTCTCAGATAGGCTATTGTCGGTCATTCTGAAAACAAGAATCCAGTATTGAGAGTATCTGAAATGAAACATCCTCTCAACAAAATATTCTTCTCTCAGATCAGAAAAGAAATATGCCTTCAAGAGTAGTTCTAGATCAGAAGAAAAGCTTTGTGTTTCAGATATGTTATTGTCTATAATTCTGAAGACAATATTTGGTTATGACCACTCTGGTGTTCCTGTACTACAACAACAAAGTAGTTTCTAAACTACTTATCAGTCAATCGTCAGAAGAACGAAGACAAGTGATTGATCTCATCCAAGCTTAATACTTCAGATTCAGAAGTACATCATCAAAAGATAAAGATTAAGAAACTTAGTCAAGAATAAAATAATACATTGGTTGTACTATTCAATGAAGTTGTTCTCCCACTGACGTACAATATCTAATGCAAGCAACAAGTCTAGGAAAGTGATGTTTCGTACTATTCCAAACCTCTCTTGAATATATCAGTTGGGAATCAACCATTGGAAGGAGAAAAGACCTCTTTATACTTACAACGACTCTTTTCATCTGAAGGCTATATAAGAAGACTAAAGCTTCAAATTCAAATTGACGAAGATATTGACGAAGAAGACAATATCAAGTCCAAACAATATTGCTGCACTTAATAGAAAATATCCAACAACGTTGAAGAGATGAAATGAAAAAGTAAGGAGTTGTTGCTCATATCTTTCTTAATAGAGAAAGAAGATGAAGATGAAAAATTTTATAAGATGATATTCAAACTATCAATCATAATCATCTTGGCAGAATTATGAAGAAGCAAGGAGTTGTTGCTCATAGCTTGCTCAACGGAGAAGATGAAGATAAAAAGACTACAAGATGCTGCACTCAATTTAGATTATATTCATCTATATAGAAATAATGTAAAACACAAGAGTTATTGCTTTGATTATGTTATTTCTTAAGAATCTTCATGTAAATTGTTTGTACACAAGAGTTGTTGCTCAAAATTATGTCAAACAATATGTACTTAAAGTAGGAGTAACCTGATTGATAAGAAGCACTTATGTAATCTCCAAAAAAATAATTTTGTTTAGAATTGGTGGTTCCTCAAGTGATCGAGTGAAGATCAGAAGACTTGAGAAGACGAGTGGTTGCGGTCATCGTGGATGAAATCCTTTCTAGGAGACCATGTTAGTCAGATTCTAGGCGGGTCCTTGATCATTATATCTCATGGAGATCACTAAGCGTATCATTATATTGTTCCTTGAGAGACTCGGTTGAGTCAGGGTTCTCAAGAAGGCTTAGGTTGCGGTCTTGCAGAAATGGAAATAAGGATCAGTTGAACTTGTTGAGGTTGTCAGGAAGGTTGAACGGACTTATTATGGATTGTAATCAAATTAGGTTATAGTGGATTAAGTCCTTGTTGAAGGAAAAATCACACGAGGAGGGTGGACAAGAGTAGTCTTGTTAACGGTGAACCTAGATAACTGAATGTGTCCTTTTTATTTTTAGCATTCTATACTCTTTTATAGTTCAATCAAATATTTTTCTAAGGGGGGATGTTTTCTAAAAACCCAATTCAAACCCCATCTTTCTTGTGTTTTCTCTACCTTCATGAGTAAGAGGTAAATCCAACTTAGTATAGGAAGTTGATTGGATCCTTGTGTTACTTATGCAATACACTACCAGATTTGGCATTTAGTGTCGGTGTTGTAAGTAGATTCATAGAGAGGCCGATGGTGTCTCATTTGGCAGAAGTGAAGAGGATTCTCAGACACCTCAAAGGATTTATTAGCTATACAATTCTCTTTCCTGCAGTGGACACGAGCATAAAATGAAGTTTAATCAATTTTACTAATTCTAATTAGTGCGAAGATAAAGATGATCAAAGTTTTGGATTTGGATATATCTTTATGTTCGGTGGAACACCGTGAAGGTGGGGAAAACACAAGAAGTGGGGTTGAATTGTGTTGCATTTTTCTTTATTTTTCAAAATACTCTTATCAGATTCTAAACATAAGGTTTATAATCTGATTCAAGTTAAGTTGTTTGTAGTGGATAAAAGCAATATCAGAGTTAGAGAGAAAGAGATACTCAAGCAATTTATCACGGTTTCTCCCACAAAACATGAGTAATCCAGTACCCTTATACTTCTAAGGGATTTCACTATAATCACTATTGATTACAATTGCTCAATCACACAAGCCAGAGACTTATAATGCTCAAACACACAAGTAAGAGTCTTCTCTCAAGCACACGAGCAAGAGATTTCAGATGCTCATGCACACAAGCAAGAGACTTCTGGCAATCTAACTTACATATGAAATATTTTTTGAGTATCATACCTGATATACAATTAGAGGTGTAAACAAAATACAACACAAAATATTCTTAAGATTTAAGACTTATGATGACAAACACAAGTATTTAAAAACAATGGTTATTAATTTAATTAACAAATTAACTCCAGGGTATGAGGTTTGCAAGCCCCCCCCCCCCCCCCCCCCCCCTAAGTCTAATAGTCCAAAAGGTGTTGTTTGTAAGCTCCCATTAGGCTCTGTCCAGGTTAATTCTTAAGATTTTGTTTACAATTAGAGGTGTAAACAAAATACAACACAATATTCTTAAGATTTAAGACTTATGATGACAAACACAAGTATTTAAAAACAATGGTTATTAATTTAATTAACAAATTAACTCCAGGGTATGAGGTTTGTAAGCCCCCCCCCCCCCCCCTCGCGCTTGGTAAGCGCTTCGCTGTAGCCAAGCTTACTGCTAGCCTATCGCCTATCGCCAAGCTTCGACACCCCCCCCCCCCCCCCAAGTCTAATAGTCCAAAAGGTGTTGTTTGTAAGCTCCCATTAGGCTCTGTCCAGGTTAATTAAATTGAAATTTAAAGCATAATAACATAATATGTGGAATTTAAGCAATAATTTAACTGTCTGATTTGGGAGCTTAAATTCTTATTATCTTGCTCCTCCTTTCGTCATCAAGAAAAACAAAAAATAAAGGAAATAAGAAAATAAAATGAAGAGAAATTATATTAAAACCAAGTAATAAGTGATTGTCAGATTGCAAAATATTTTTAAAAACAGTAAAAAAAAATAACAGAAGGTTTTAATCCTAAAGCCTAGAGTTTCTTCATAAGCTTCAAGATAGCCTTGATATTAGAACCAATATCATTTTGTCTTGCAACCATAATATTCAGCTGAGCATCCATTTCTCCCTGAGCATTAACCACACTATAAATTTGAGCACCCATAGCCTCTTGATTAGCACCAACAGAAGTCAGTTTAGCCTTTAATTGCGCTTGTTGTTGGGTGGAATAAATTATAGACTCAGTAGAGAAAGTCTTCGGATTTTACAGAACTGTATCCACATAGGTTTTGAGAGTATCCCACTTAGCAGCATGTGAAATAGAATTAGATGCCAAAAGTCTCTCAACAACCAGATCATGAATCTTAACAAAGATATCAGTCATAAATTCTTCAATTAGGGCTTGGGTGTATGGAAGGAGACTCAGATAATTGGTTATGTGAGATAGGGATCTATCCTCAGAGATATGTTAGAAGATTGTAAGAGATGCTTTAGTGTGAGACATATACAAACATCTAACAATGTGGAAAATCCTTTAAAGTGTGAAGGAATAAGACGTACCCTTAAGTTCGAAAGAGAAATTAATATAAATATCTTATGTTCACTTATTTTCCAAACACTTTATATTATTAAAAACATATCATTTTCATATCTAAAGAAAATTAAGAAAACATAATGCAAAAACAAAAAAAATCAAGCAACTTTAATTCAACTCCTTATAGATTATACTTTATATTTACACAAATAATTTCTCTATTAGATAACTTTAAACGAGACCTCACAAGTAGACCAATAAAACTGATTTCTTTAAATTAGTCCGTCAAATTCACATATCAAAATTAAAATAAAAAACAATAATAAATCTTAATTAAATTATTAATTACAAAAACAAGTTAATCACTTTATTTTATTATAATGAAAAAGCCAGAAGGTGAGAAACCAAAAACCAGAAGGGTAAAGTAGTAATTTCAATTTATGGTCTATCCAAAATTGATGATGATGCTTGCGGTGGAAGAACGGTTCATACTTTTTTCTAAATTAAAATATCTTGATCACACTCCAATACCTTACACAAACAAGAAAAATATAAATCTCTTATCCTCTTCCTCATTTTCAGATCTTAATTTCCCTTCTTTCAATAATTAAATCTAATTAAACCCTAATTCGGTGATTCATCTTTCAAGGTGCGATTTCAATTCCTAATTAATCCAGTTTCTATGATTTAATTAATCATTGATTTGATCACTAATTTAAATTAAATCAATTTTGTTGTGTAGGTTTTGAATTTTGATGGATAAAATGGTTTGTGTGAAAGGACCAACTGTGTGCAGTGTTCCCATGTCGTTGATTGGACCAATCAACGGTGGTGGTTGTAGTAGAACTGAATTTTGGGGATTTTCTGGTAGCACCAAAGCTAAACCTAATTCACTTTCTTGCCATATTAATATGAGAAAGCTGTGCAAAGCTGTGAATTGTAGTTTCAACTCATCTTCTAATGGTAGTGGTAGTATGGCTGAGAGTTTTAATCAAAATCATGAAGATTATGTTAACTCTACTATTCTTGAAGCAGGTATATATATGGGTTGTTTTAGGCACTAAAAAAATTGTTTTTTTTTTTTATTGATTATGATGATTACTATTATTTTTAGTGATTGGAGAAAGATAAACTATTATTTTATTGGATTTACCAACGCAAACTCTTTGTTTAATTGATTGGTGTATGATTGGTTTTGCGATGAAAAAAATTGATTTTGAGTGAATTAATTCTGTAAAATTGATCCTCTTTAAAATTGAGTTGAATGTAAAGTGATTTATGTTTGGATAACTTTATGCAAAATTGAACTTAACGGTACAAATCAGGTTTAATCAATTCTGGAGGCAGAATCAATTTTTGGTGTGATTAATGTAAATGTATAGTGTGTTGTTTGTTGATAAGAACATAAGGTTTGGAAACTTTATTTTATTTCCCTGTAAAAATTGATTTGCGGGGTGATTTTGTTTTTTGTATAGTTGAGGTTAAGAGTGGAGCTGATGGGTTCATAGTCAAAATGAGGGATGGTAGACACTTGAGATGCGTTCATAACAGCCCTCATGGAGGACTTCTTCCGAATTATGCGCCACATCCAGCAATTGTGTTGAAGATGGAAGATGGGACTGGTCTACTTCTCCCTATAATTGTTTGTATGTCTTCTACTTCCTTTGTGTTTTGTATTGTATTATATCGTGAATTTGTTTTGTATTGCATCGCATCGTATCATACAATTATACTTTTTGGATGGATACTATCTTATTTTGGTGATTATATTTATATCTCTCTCCCAATGTAACTTTGTGGTTCATCTTCATTTGCAGTGGAGATGCCAAGTGTCTTGTTAATGGCAGCTATACGCAATGTTCAAATAGTATGTATTCTATTTTCAATTAAATTCCAATGCTTTAGTACTAAAAATTTGAATTCAAATTGATTATGCTTTTTTGTAACATATCTTCATGAACCAAACAACTAACAACTATCTGGTTGCTGTATCAGGCTAGACCTACTTTATATCAAGTAGTGAACGAGATGATCGACAAGATGGGTTATGAAGTATGGTTAATTTGATCCGTTTGCTATTACATACTCGTAATCGTGATTGTATTGTGGTCTTCCTTTATACTCACATGGTTTATATCAATAAGCAATTGACAAAATATCTTTTCCATACAGGTCAGAGCTGTGAGAGTTACTAAGAGGGTTCAGGAGGCATATTTTGCTCAGTTATATCTTTCCAAGGTAAACTTCAAACGTTCCTCACCTACACCGAATCCCACAAAACGATACCCCGAGTTTTGTCTGACAGTATGACTTGTACTTGTTATAGGTTGGAAATGAGTCGGAATGTATGAGCTTTGATCTTCGACCTTCAGATGCTATAAACATTGCCGTCAGATGCAAGGTTGTTCATTCGATCATATGAATACATGATCACTCATTAGTTGTATTCTCCTATTGCTTTGCTTGGTGGTTGTTGATTTGTGGAAAATGTTCAGCCAAGTTTCAAATGCCTTGGATTCACTGTTACAAAGTTTTGGCAAATGTTGCCTAATTTAGAACTTCAAAGTTTTGGATCAAATTACAATTATTAAAAATTATTGGTTAAACAAAACATGTTTATCAGAGATTTAACTGGTCCACCAACATTGTAGGTGCCTATACAAGTCAACAAGTATTTGGCATACAGTGATGGAATGAGAGTTGTTGAATCAGGCAAACTGTCACCACAGTCCCCTGGTTCAGATGGCCCATTATTTACTGAACTGGACCGGTAGGTTTTTGAAGATACATTTTAAGGCAATCTGACTTTTGTTTGTGTAGTGTAGCATCTTTGTTCTGGACTTACTACTTTCATTACTAGCACTTTTTTCGATTTTGAAAGACAAGTCTTAAAAATGACATATTTGCAGACCAAATGGTAAGCCTTGTGTTGAAACCAAGGAGTTCAATCTTTTGCACAACATGTTGAAAGCGGTTGTAGAAGAGCGCTATCAAGACGCTGGTAATTCAATTATGTCTTTAAGTTGTTTTTCCTCGATTAAACATTGAAATTTACTATCCTTACGTCTCGTGTTTCTGATGCAACTCTAGCTTTGTGGAGGGACAGACTTAATCAATTCAGGGCAGAAAAGAAAGCAAAGAACAGGTGAGCTTATTTCATATAAGAAATTGACAACGTCTGTGTCATAAAAAGTTTCTAGCTGATTCATTTGCTTCTCTTTTCTTTTAAGATGATAACTTTTTGTTCATTTTTCAGATCCTGGACACTCTAAATTGTATATATATAAATCCAGCATAGAATGTCGATGTCGTGGATGGGAATTGGAAGAGCAGATAGCTGACATATCTTTTGCTTCTTCCCTTGTGTATACTTTAAATATGTTTGTGAATAAATATGTGCATATATATAAACATTAACACTAATGTATATCATCATCATGAGAACTTTATTATGCTACTGTTAATATGTATTATGGTTCATCCATTGGATGCAGCATGTTGCTGGTGGTTGTGTTGTGTTATATGAGTTACAGAAAATAAATAAACAAATTCTTGCATGTTTCTATTTTTTTGTTGATTAAAAATAAAATACAAGATAAAGTGTGACAAATATAAAACCATGAATGATATGAAACCATTCGTTTATTCATTTTAGATAAGATAAAATTTAGAGACAGCATCTTGTTGACTTTTTCTTGCTTCTAAGGCCAATCATTTAGTGGGCCAAAAGAAGGAATCTTTTAGTGGGAGTGGATGATATACGAATGAATGACTATGATAAACTTCTTTGATAATTTTACATATAATCAAATAATTAGGTAATGCATGAAATTTGTATATTGGTGTTTAAAATGACTTGCTATCAAAAAATGTTCTAAAATTACATTAATTAAATAACAAACTTCAAAAGGTAGTCAAATAATTAGTACTTTTCTTAAAATGTAATTTATGTATCAAACCTTTTAAGTATTTAATTTTTCTTAAAAAGTATTTTTGTTAACACTCTATTTTATCACATGACTTGACACTTGCAATTATTAATTATAATTTGATATTTGTTCCAAAGCTACACTAAAAGCCATCAAATGTAAAAATATATATTTTGGCATCATTTTGATTCATCGCCTAATCATTCATATACTTTTTTTCCACAAAGGCAACGTGTCCTTTTCTCAATCTCACACATATTATTAAAAAAATTCTAACAAAAATGGTGATTATTCAATGTTTATATAAAATCAGTACAATAAATATGATAATAATTTTGATGAAATGTATAGTATGACCATTGACTAAGACATGGCCAACGTAATCTAATAAATAGTGGGTCCTTAGAAACACAAAGTGGCAACTAGCAAGTGGCATTGTGATGTGAGATGAAGAAATATGTGATATATAACATTAGTACTATCAATTTTTACACTATATAATGCCTAATGCTTTTATCAATCTTTGTCTTTGAAAACATTATCAACATTAAATTTGTCTTTTGCCGACACCCTTTCTTGTCTGCTACATATTACATGATTGACTCGCCCAAAATATCAATAAAGCTTTTCAAAAAAGTTAAAATTTGCTTCAGCTTCTGCTTCTGCTTCTTGACATGTCTGAACTTCTTTGTAAGTAGTAATCTACTCTCCTATTTTTTTCTTGATTATTTTTTATTCATTTTTTCATGAATTTTTGTGCTTATTTTACTAGGCAAAGATTTAAGAAGAGAGAATTCTGAGGGGAAAAAAATGGGGAGTCTTAAGAAGAAAGCAATAAATGCATCTTGCAAATTAAGGCATTCTCTTAAGAAGAGAAGAAGCAGCAAAAGTGGGAGTAGAAACAACTCACTTTCTATTGAAGATGTTAGACAAGTTGAGGAGCTTCATGCAGTGGATGCTTTTCGACAAGCACTTATTTCAGACAACTTACTTCCTCCAATACTTGATGACTATCATATGTTATTGAGGTTACACACCCTTATGTTCAAGCATGTTCATTTTTGAAAGTTATAAGCTCTTTTCGTAAGCTATCATGAAGAACTTATCGAAATAAGTTGAAAAATTGTTTTCATAAGTTCTCTGAAACACTGTAACAAATGTTAATTTTAGTAGATAAGTTCTTATAAGCTATTTATGTAGTTGGAAACCAAATTTATTGTAGATTCTTGAAAGCAAGGAAGTTTGATATTGAGAAAGCAAAGTTCATGTGGGCAAACATGATTCAATGGAGGAAAGACTATGGTACAGATACAATTATAGAGGTTAGTTAGCAATCTGATTCAATATATAATTTGCATAGCAGTCTATGAGGGCGGGCATGCAAGACGGATTACTGCACAGAGTCCAAAAAATTTCATGGTCAAACCGTAGCTAAATAGGACATCATAAAATATTTGTCCCGGTTAAACCGTGGTTAAATAGGATCTCTATTTGTTTTTTCATGGTTAAACTGTAACTAGTCTACATATGATTTTCAAAAATTTGAGACGGCTCTGATCATTTGATAGGGTCAACATTGATTTTTTTTTTAATGTGGTGTTTATACTATAATATGGTTATTTATTACTCTATAGGATTTTGATTTCAAGGAGTTGCAAGAAGTTCACAAGTATTATCCACATGGTTATCATGGTGTGGATAAAGAGGGAAGACCTGTTTATATTGAGAGGCTAGGGAAAGTTGATCCCAATAAGCTTATGCAAGTAACTACCATGGAAAGATATTTGAGATATCATGTGCAAACTTTTGAGAAAGCATTTTCTGTCAAGTTTCCAGCTTGCTCTATAGCAGCTAAGAGACACATAGATTCAAGTATCACAATTTTGGACGTTCAGGGCGTGGTATGTTGTTCGTCTAAGTGCATTTTTAGATTGACTGTGAATTTCGCTGAATCACAGTAGCACGTTGTGATTTTGCTAAATTCGCAGTCAATCCAACACTTGTATTATTGGCTACTAAACGCTACGACTATATAGTTTATATATTTACTAGTCTTCCGTTTGCTTTCTAGGGTTTCAAAAACTTCACCAAGTCGGCACGAGAACTGATTATCCAGTTGCAGAAGATTGATAGTGATTACTACCCTGAGGTATGTTGAATAAGAGAGTATGGATAGACATTTCCATAAACTAGAAGCTAATTCAATTTTGACACTGCAGACACTTTGCCAAATGTTTATCATCAATGCTGGTCCTGGTTTTAAGCTTCTCTGGAACACAGTGAAAACTTTTCTTGATCCCAAAACTACTTCAAAGATTCATGTACGTGTTCATTACTTGAGTTATTGTTTCATGCATCATATTTTTATAAGACTTTATTGAGGTAATGATGAATTGAAACTTGAATGTTCCATTATAGGTTCTTGGAAACAAGTTCCAAAGTAAATTACTTGAGATTATCGATGCGAGGTAACTTCAAATTTAGTTTTGTTATTGGCATTATTTTTCAGTCTACTGATACTTTTATGTGAAAACTCTGACCTGCTATAAGTTCTCAGTGAGCTGCCGGAATTCTTAGGCGGTAGTTGCACTTGTGAAGATCATGGCGGTTGTATGAGATCTGATAAAGGGCCGTGGCAAGACCCGAACATTTTAAAGGTTTCCTACTTATTATATAATCATAGGGTTCTGTTACTAAATTTTGATCTGGTTTTTGGTTTTACTCTGCATTTTACAGTGACTCAACTAGAATAGTTATGTGCATGCAGATGGTTCTTAGTGGTAAAGTGCAATGTTTTAAACAAATAGTTGCGCTTTCCAGCGACGAGGGGAGGGTGATAGAATGTGATAAAACATCTTATCCAACGGTAAAGTTTATCGGTGCTATCTTAGATATTGTATGATGAGATGTAATAATTATCAGAAAATCATTATTAGAGATGTTGTTTTTGAGAGCACAGATAAGTGGCTGCACATCTACTGGAGAATCGAGATCTGAAGCTGAAGATATCACCTCTCCTAAACCATATGGGAACTCTATGAACCCTACATTGACTCCTGTCAAAGACAAGGCCAGTGTTCATACATAAATCATAAGGTTACAACAAAACAAAAATGTTGCAGCGAATAACGAATGAATATGACTGTTTTTATGTTTATCTAGGCAGGATTTGCTGATAAGGTTGTTCGTAGCGGCAGTTTTCATGGGTATGATGAGTGTGTTCCTATGGTTGACAAGACTATGGATGTTGTATCAAAGGAGAAGCAGGCGGCAACGCCACAAAACTCATTTGGCTCAAAAGGTTAGAATAAGTTTATTTTACAGATTGGATATCAAACATCTTGTTGATAATTGGTAGCAATCCTCATGAACTCTTTATGGTATGGATGCAGAAAATCTGCCAATGGTAACCATGACTGTTATAGCGGGCTTTGTGTTTGCCTTTTTGGCTTTTGCTCGTTCAATAGCATTTCGCGTGACGAAGGGAGTAAAAAAGGAGGAACTTGCTACCGGATTGACAGAGACAGACATTTCCTCATCTTCTACCATAAAACGACTCAGTGAGCTTGAAGAAAAAGTCGAGAAGTTAGAGTCAAAACTCAATGTGATGCCTCCTGAGAAAGAGGAGTTGCTGAATGCTGCAGTTTGTCGTGTGGATGCCGTGGAAGCAGAGCTCATTGCCGCGAAGAAGGTAACTATTTCATTTCAAAATCAAATTCTATATCACAGTATAATTTTGTTTCTTATGCTATTAGTGTATGCTAGATTGATCAGTAATTTGTTATGTATGTAAAGCAGTGTGTTCAACTTTCTAAACAGGCTTTGTACGAGGCTTTAATAAGACAAGAACAACTTTTGGCATACATAGACAGACATGAAAAAAGCAAATTCAAGGCAAGTCAGAGGTTAATTCATTTTTTCTAGTTTATCAATATATAAGTAATCAAATTCTTGTTATCATCCTTCATGGGAATTCTTTAAAAATGTGTTCATTCTGTTTCTAAAGCAGTGCTGGTAAGTGACAGTGAACATGACGGACTTGTTCGGTGGCTCTCTATGTGCATGTGCGCGAGTATCATGAGAATAGATTGACATGTACAATAATATTGATTCCGTATGATTGTTTCCAATACAAACTTCATTTGAATGCTTGGGTATTGAATAACATTACATCCACACATATTTTTTTAACTTAGCAATGGATACATGAAACGATTAGAATAAATCAAACAAAAATACTATCACAGAACATATACACTAGTTTGCTTGACAGATGAATGATTGTACAAAAATGGCATGGCGATCGAGTTAATAACATAATGGAACAGACATATTCAGTGATA